AACTGTTCTGGAACAGTGTTGTAAATACAACTTAACCACTGATTTGTAGTCGTGTCCTCTTTTGGAAGACCAAACAAAGTAGTTTCGCGTGTTAGAACGAGCCATTTTAGGTAGGCGTGGTTAACTCTTAACTTTTATAAAGAATATCTCTTTGGTTTTGAGACTTTAGTGTTTGCAACTTTACAGATCTTCTTTATGCACCAAGAGCTTGTAACACTCCAAAGAGAAAGGAAAAATTGAAATCGCATCATATGACCCCTTTAAAGATGACACCTTCTGTCTGCTGGACGTGAGTATGTGTGTCTGTGCTTATTCAGAACCACAATCATAAAAAGAGACACACTGCAGCCACTTGGCTCTAAACAGGATATCCCAAACTTTATTTCCTGTGTAGAGGTGTACTAGGGGAGCAATCACAGTTAGTGGACGTCCATTTTATTAGATTGAGTGCAACACAAAAATAAATCAAAACAAAAATGAAAAAATCTCATATTTAATTATTCAGATTAAAATTAAAACAACCTAACGATCAAAACAAAACAGCGTGAAATAAAGCAAAAAGTGCAAGAGAGAAAGAAGAGAAAAGAGAGAGACAGAGAGAGAGAGAGGAGGAAAATAGAGTCAGCTTTAATAAGCCCATGACAGAGGACTGTGTAAGACACACTATGCCACAAGGCCACACACACTTGCATTAACATGACTCTCAGCATTAGCTTACAGCGATCAAACACACACAATGATTTGAGCCCCTCGATCTGTACAAGACAGATAAGATAATAAAACTTACAGCCTTCATTTAGACCAGCTATTACGTTACATACAATACATTCAATCCTGCTTTGGCATGAGCGCTTTCTACCATGTTGTTTACACTGCAAAACACAGCATTTTGTATTGTTTTCCTGTATAAATATTCTCTTTTTAACATTTAATTTTTACCCTCTTGTTTTTAAGCATAAACCTCATTAAACTGTATTAGATTTATGCTTGAAACAACAACAAAAAATAATTGTTTGTTTTAGATTTTTAGATATTTCTTATCGGAAAAAAAGACAAAATGACTAGTTAAGAACAATATTCTCTGCAGTATAAGTGGTTTTGCAAACCTTTATACATGCTATAAATTTTTACATTATAAATAAGTGATATGTAGACATTTACACACATATACGCACTGTTCAGGAATACCAGGAACATCGTTACACATATACACTGCGATTGATTACAACACACGGCCTACATAATTTCACTGGACACATTAATGCAAGATGTTAGTGAGGCCTTGGATTGGAGAGAGAGAAAGAGAGTGATATAGAGAGGAGGGAGGAGGAGGAAATAATATGATCAAAGATTAGTATTAAACCCCTGAAAGACTAGAGTCCATCTGAGCAGTGAATAAGAGAGAGGGGGTTTAGGAATGTAAGACATACACAAGGCAAACCCTGACACTTCACACACATTCTCCTAATGTTTTACAGACATTTTCCAGATGGTTCACTGATTTTTGCAAGATGGTTTACAGACTCAGAGCAGATAAATAACGGACTACATGTTCCCTTAATTCTTACAAATATCACAGACTGCTCCAGACCGCCCAAACAAACACACACTCGCACACACACTGCTCAGCGAAGAAACTAGAACAAAACAAGCTCTATGCAACAATCAATCCAAAAGGCAATATTTGTCATTCTGAAGTTTCAAATAAATACGTTGTATTCTCTCTTTGATAACGGCAGAGCAGTGACTCTGCCTTCATTCTACTGTACAGTATATACATACACACCTGAACGCTTCAGTGACAAAATATTTCATACTGTTAAATAATATAACCATTGCAACAACCAAGCAAAGGACCTTGATATATTGCTTCCTTCGTTTGTACATGTGCTCCTGTACTAAACGACAGATACTGCCTTTTTAATATACATGTGCAAGTTAAAAAACAAAAAAACAAAACGAAACATTTAAATGAAACTTACGGACAGGAAAATCAAACGAACAAGCAAACAAAACAAAAATCTGAATGTCTATACAGCTTTCAAACCTCTGTCGACTACATTAATGAAGGGGATTCTGCGTACTATATACAGACAGGTTAGCATCCATGCATTGTCAACACTAAGCACATTAACATTCCAAATATGGACATGGCAAACAAGGGGGCGGGGTAAAGGGAGGGGCTAGGTTCCACAGGGGGGCGGTTCCAATGCAGCCACACCCTGATTTAGAGCACAGACGCACAATTGCTGACCCTTGCTCTGCCAAAGCAAATACATATACAGTATAAACCGTAGAGACCATGTACAGTTTGCACACCCCGTACGGAGAGGCGCACCTGCGGTCGGTTGGTGTGACGGCTAGCGAGCAGTACGTACAGCAAGAGTCCGTGAAAGTCTTCTCGGCAGAACTTGGTATGGCTGTAATTCACATGGTTTCACCAACTTCACTCCAACTTCATCTGTTTGTTTATTGGTTAAATAGATATTAGGCTTCAGGGAAAAGTCTTTTATTGATGTTGGTTTTGTCCTCCTTTGTTTGTAGTGTCTTTCTTGTGGATCTTAGAATTGGCAAGCAACAGCGGACCATCTTCATCAGGGATTGAAGGTCATCATCAAAGGCTTCCTACAGAAATGTCCTGAAGCTGGTACAGTATAGTTTCCTTTCATTCAAAATGTAAAACAAAATAAAACAAACACAACAAAAAAAGAAAGAATAAACAGCTATTCAAGCTAAATTTTTCTTCTCTTTCAAAATCAAGCTTCTGAAACTACAAACCCCAACACAGATTCCCTTTAAAAACACTCTTTCGTTACAAGAAAAGGTGTTCAGATGCAGTAAAAGAGCTGTAGGCTGGATCCCTTCAGTACAAACACCTATAAGAAATGTCACCAAGGCCTCTTTATCCTTGCAAGGACATTTTTGGTGTGGGTAAAAAAGGTACGATTGGAAATACAAAACCCACTTCAGGGGCTGTGTGGCACACTGCAGTTTTCCATTAGAAAGATTTTACCTTTGGCAAATTTGGCGCAAACTACACAATAGATGAAGTCCAAAATATCTACGTTAGATCTACTGTGCTCAGTCCAGAAACACGATTTCATATATTTACTTACCCACTAAGACTGAAAATCGAACTTTGGAAAGGAGAGTGAAAAATCCTGCAATTGCATTTTCAAAATTTAAAACCGAGCTACTTTTTTTTTTTCAGTTCGTTTGTGTTAAACCATGCTATCCTAAAGATGTTTAGAGTCAAATTCAGATTAGTTCTACAATGTCTGCTTTTAAAATCGACCTACGTCTAAAACCGTGACTACTCTATGAGATTTACCTTACAGCTCCGTATGCCGCGAATCTACAAAGTACAAAGAAGCAATCTCAGCAGGGTTGGAGGGAAAGCGTGCCCTCGTAAACTCCACATAGATGAGTGACTGACTGTATCTGTATGAGCTAGTTTAGCAAGCAAAAGACTACCGATTATACATGCTTGCAAATTGTGTGTCTGAGAACAAATCGCTGAAAGTATGGTCACTGGTTTTGCGTATTTCTCGTAGTGTGTCCGTAAATTTATGCGTGTATGCTAGGACGGAAAGTAACAGTCGTAATTGTAAACTCTCGATGTGATCTTGGCAAAAGCATGTCACATGCTGGATTATCTTTACTAGGCTGACCTCACACACGGTCCATCGATTGCATAAATTAATAATCGAATCAGTAACAAACCGCAGTGTGTTTGTATTAGAAAATTCAGGATGTTCCTTAACCCGAGCTCTTTCGATAGCACTTTACGATCTTTGAGATCTTTTAAATCAAAGTCTTGCACTAGTGCACCTCTGGTCTCTAGAGCTTCAGCGCCGGCAGAGAATAGAGCTGGTGTACTGCACTCTCTTATTGTTATTCTCTTTCTGAACTGGAATGAACTGCACCAGTGCAAGAGCGGGATAAAAACTGGCCTTCACAGGAACTACAAGTTGCTCTTGAGAACAACAAAAGCTGTTTAGGACCGTTCCGATTACATCATCTGTCTGAAAAATCACCCAAGCAAAATTACAGTACCGCTCGGTCCCCGTTAAGATAACAAACCTATAACACACAGCCACATTACCCAGAGTTCCATGGCACTATGAAGGGAGCTTACAGATTCCACGGTCCCACGTGGCTTTTATACTGGTTTAGGTTAAAAAAGCACAACTACAGTAGTTAAAGGTAGCAATAGTAGCTTTTATAGTCTAGATTTGATGCTTGAACAATGTGGTCACACCCCGTCCAATCAGATGCAGTCACACAACAAATAGAGGAAGATGAGGATGAAGGAATGGCGTGTTGAGAGAACAGAAGAACGGGCCGATGATCTGCGGAAAATTATTATTCTCGTGAACCCGAAACCGAGTCCGCCGCTGTTGCCTTCCTCTGCAGTCTTTAGTCTTTACCCTTTAGTCTTTGCGTATTTTTCCACAGAATGCATGATCGTGTGTGTGTCACTGTGTGAAGGTGTGTAGTTCTGCGTGTGTATGCGTGTGTGAGCGCGTGTGCGTGTGTTTAGAAGCCCTTGATGTGGCAGTAAGCCTCCAGAGAGGAGAACAGGATGTAGAGGAGCCAGAGGCTGACGAAAAGCATGGTGGTCAGCCCTTTAGCAGTCCGCGAACCCCCCAGCTCGCCACCGATGTCGGGCCGGCGGCGGTACATGAGCACCGCCACGCAGATAAAGGCGAAAATGGTGAAGAGGGTGACAGAGAAGGCCAGGTTACCCGGCTCCACCCTGAACTCGTGGCCCTTTGAATTGTGGTAGATGGCGGCGATGGACCAGGCCACTCCGATGCCCAAGAAGACGTTCACGGCGTTGCTGCCCGTCACGTTTCCAATGGACGCGTCGGCGTACTGATCCTGTATCGCTGCCACTTTACTGGCAAAGGTGTCTGAGAGGAAAATGAGAAAGAGAAAGAAAGAAAGAAGAAAGAGAGGTATTAATAGAGTAAAAAAAATTATCATCATGATTCATAAAAATTCTGATAGATTGATAATAATAAAAATAATAACTTATATAAATAATAAATAAATAAAATAAATAATCAAATAAATAAACTAATAAAATGTTCCAAAAGTGCAACCTTAAAACATAAAAAGCATTAATGTAACAAAAATACATAGATGAGTGACTAAGCGTATACTGAGCAAGTTTATTTTGTCTATTGTGATAGGTTAATAATGTAACATTGTACTTGTAAAATAAGTAATTAAATAAACAAAGTATTTCAAAATTAAGAATTTTTATGTATGTATTTATTTATTTTGCCATAAATCACAAAAAGCATTAATGTAACAAAAATGCATAAATGTGACAAATTTAGTGAGGTTTATGCTTAAAACAAGAACGAAAGATAATAAGTAAATAAAATAAAAAAATCAAGATATATTTTCTGAAAACAAGTAATTAAAAATATTAAATTAACATTAAATAATTAAAATGAGTAATTAAAAGAGTTTTACTTCAAGTACTTCTTGCTTGTCTAAATATGTTTAGATCTTTCTTCAGAAAACGAAACAAATAATAGTTGAGATTTTTTTCTTGCAGTGCCACACAGTACTCATCTTCTCTCTCTTGCTCGTCTCTCCTTTTTTGGTGAGGATATAATTTTGTAATAACAGCCTGGTTAACCTCTGATTTGAGTTGAAATCAGAGGGCTGTCTGCTATTTAAACAGTGTGGTTTCTCTCGCTCAGAGACAGCTGCATGCTAATAGGGTGATCTACTGCAGACAGCTGAGAAACCATGAGGATGCTGATTGTGCTTTCTGTCTGGAAAGGCCTCTAAATAATCCTAGATGCACATACACTCCCTTTCTAACTCTTTCTTCCTCTCGGTCTCATTTAATCTTCCTCTTCCTCTCTCTCTCTTTCGTTATGCTAATATGGTCCATAACACATTACCCTGCTGAACTGCTCTGGATATGTTGATATTATTAATTGCAGCCTGTGGTCACAAAGAAACATTATCCTCATTTAAAGGTCTTGCTATCCTGCGGATATACACTTTAATATTCACACATTCGTATTTACATGTTTGTGTTCGAGCAGTGCATCTCAAGTGAAAATATATCCAAAAATATTTGATCACTAAACATTACATCAAACAAACATACAAACAAAAAAAGATGATAGAATAGATACTTGATTTAAAGACATTTTAGTTTCCCCAAAAATATTAAGCAGCACATGTTCAACATTGATAATAATAAGAAATGTTTCTTAACATCAAATCAGCATTTCTGAAGGATCATGTGACACTTAAGACCTGAGTAAGAATATATTTAATTATGAAAACAAAAAGCAGTTATTTTAAAAACGTATTATTTCACAATTTTTGTTTAAACTGTTTTTGATCAAATAAGTACAGCTTCAGTGAGCAGAAAAAACAAACTCAAAATATGTTTAATATGCCATTTTATTATACATGAAGTTATCAAGTGCTTTTTAGTTTTTGCTATTTATCAAGAGCTTAAAGAGGTGTTTTAATGTCACCATGAGGCATCTTTCCGCACTCAACAATGAGCGTTCCCACAGAAATGAATCATTTCTGAGTCCAAGGATGTGAACAGCTCAAAGTTGTCATCTGGTAATTACGGTAATTCCAGCGCGACATGACTGCAGCACTCAACATCTGCCTAAAAGTGAAGGTTAGAAACTCTCCCTGCAAATCTGAAAAGTATCTGAGAACAACATCAGCCATTAACGGGCTTAAAGGACAAAAATGGACTCAACAACATCTCAAAGACACCGCATTATAAAGTGAAAGCTGGGTTTACTGTAAAGTACTTATTTCTGAAATAACATTTTCCTTCTCGTTATTCATCACTGTCCTGTTATGTTGTTGTAAACAACAGCATGGATGGAGCCGTTTCCATAGCATTACCATGGAAATTCTCAGTTAAGGCTCAGCTAACACCCAGTCTGGTGTAAAGTCCTGCCAAAGAGCCTGGCAGCGTGCGGACGACAACTGCCGTTAATGTGGGTGTCATGGCAATGAAAAGCTTCATCCCAGAAAGACGCTCGGGAGCAGTTAATCATTACGGACTTAAACGGATCAACGTTCCAGACTGTTACAGACTTTGAAACTGTTATAAACCTCAAACTGCTTACGTTTGCACACGGATGCAAATTTGTATTAAAAAACGACCACACATATAGTTTAAATGAGTATTTTATCAACAACAAATGTCTCTGCGGCTCAGCCAAACAACCGATGTATGTCTATGCTGGGAAATACAAAGCGGACTAAATAACATTTAATCCAAAAATCACTATAATTAACTTTTTATATTACCACATTTTAGCGGCACTGCATTCAGAAGATGCACGTCAGTCATCAAACCCATTTCCATTTTTAATTAATCGAGCAAATTATTTATTCACAATACTATATGCTGAATCTAAAGGCTTTGTGTTCTGTTTAAAAGCATTGGTGAACGTTGCCTTATCAGTCATTGTACATTTTCCTTCGCCTGGTTTCTGGCTGCTCGCTTGGCTAATTGGAAGTTCAGTTGTTTTCCCAGTACTCAATACGGCTTTCATCTCCAACTACAGATTGACACATTTGCTAACTGCTCAATAACGCTCCATTCAGTATGCAACGTGTAGCATTTGTTATTTTGAATTTGTGCAGAAACAGCAGAAAAACAATCAATGGATGTGGTTGTAAACCTTTCATTAGAAGGTTTTTTTTTTTAAAAAGTTTGCTTCATTTACCTTACTAATGACCTTGATTTTTGACCTGTTACTAATTAAATGTGTAAGTACGTCATTGTTTTTGGCACCTGAACCAGACTTTGTGACTTTATCAAGACCATCTAAACAAACATAATACAAGAAAATTATTTAATTTAATTTTTAATTGTTTAATAGAAATTCTTAACACATTATTTCATCTGTAAAAATAAAAGGGCAAATTCAGGATGTTATGCAGCTTTAAAGAGGTAGTTCACTTCCAGAATGAAAATTTCCTGATAATTTACTCACCCCTAAGTCTTCCAAGATGTTCATGTCTTTCTTTCTTCAGTTGCAAAGAAATTAAGTTTTTTGAGGAAAACATTCCAGGATTTTCCTCCATATAGTGGACTTCAACAGGGATCAGTGGGTTGAAGGTCCAAATTGCAGTTTCAATGCTGCTTCAAAGGGCTCTAGATCCCAGCTGAGGAATAAGGGTCTTATCTAGCAAAACGATCGGTCATTTTCTTAAAAAAAAAAAAAATTGTATATACTTTTTAACCACAAATGCTCGTCTTGCACTAGTGACTTCACGCATTGCATAATCACGTTGGAAGTGTCACGCGCAGTAAGTTCTTCATCTGTGTACTCTGGTTCAAAAAGGTAGGGTAGGTGCAAAAAACTCCATATCATTTTCTCCTTCAACTTCAAAATTGTCCGACAACATTGTTCTACCTCTTTTTGTAAAGGGCATTTGACTTTCTTTGCACGTTCGCTTTGTAAACACTGGGCCGGTACTTCTGCCTACATCGTATGTGCGTGATTACGTAATGCTCGAGGTCGAACTAGTGCAAGACGAGCATTTGTGGTTAAAACGTGATAGAAGAAAATGACCGATCATTTAGCTAGATAAGACCCTTATTCCTCGGCTGGGATCGTGTAGAGCCCTTTGAAACTGCAATTTGGACCTTCAACCTGTTGGCCACCATTGAAGTCCACTATATGGAGGAAAATCCTGGAATGTTTTCCTCAAAAACCTTAATGTCTTTTCAGTTTAGTTTATTTGTTTACAGGGGCAACACACATTAATAAACATGGCTGTAAATGTGCCAGAATTAGCCAAAGAGGCTATTTTTTTTGAACGAAGAAAGAAAGACATGACCATCTTGGATGACATGGGGGTGATTAAATTATCAGGACATTTTCATTCTGGAAGTGAACTACTAGTAAAATAGTTTTCAACAATTAATCAAACTTGACTAAAAATGTAAGATTTTCTAAGCTTTAGGCCCTTGAACAAACTTTTCTCTAACACTAAGGAAAATACATCTTCCCATAGATTATATAGTTTCCTCCTCACACATACACATGCTCTCACTCTCTCTCTCTCTCACACGTGTACACACACACACACACGCAGTTGTAAGCAGGTAATGGTGATTTTAGCTGATAGGGTACAATGTAAATCTGAGGAATAAGGGTCTTATCTAGCAAAACGATCGGTCATTTTCTTAAAAAAAAAAAAAATTGTATATACTTTTTAACCACAAATGCTCGTCTTGCACTAGTGACTTCACGCATTGCATAATCACGTTGGAAGTGTCACGCGCAGTAAGTTCTTCATCTGTGTACTCTGGTTCAAAAAGGTAGGGTAGGTGCAAAAAACTCCATATCATTTTCTCCTTCAACTTCAAAATTGTCCGACAACATTGTTCTACCTCTTTTTGTAAAGGGCATTTGACTTTCTTTGCACGTTCGCTTTGTAAACACTGGGCCGGTACTTCTGCCTACATCGTATGTGCGTGATTACGTAATGCTCGAGGTCGAACTAGTGCAAGACGAGCATTTGTGGTTAAAACGTGATAGAAGAAAATGACCGATCATTTAGCTAGATAAGACCCTTATTCCTCGGCTGGGATCGTGTAGAGCCCTTTGAAACTGCAATTTGGACCTTCAACCTGTTGGCCACCATTGAAGTCCACTATATGGAGGAAAATCCTGGAATGTTTTCCTCAAAAACCTTAATGTCTTTTCAGTTTAGTTTATTTGTTTACAGGGGCAACACACATTAATAAACATGGCTGTAAATGTGCCAGAATTAGCCAAAGAGGCTATTTTTTTTGAACGAAGAAAGAAAGACATGACCATCTTGGATGACATGGGGGTGATTAAATTATCAGGACATTTTCATTCTGGAAGTGAACTACTAGTAAAATAGTTTTCAACAATTAATCAAACTTGACTAAAAATGTAAGATTTTCTAAGCTTTAGGCCCTTGAACAAACTTTTCTCTAACACTAAGGAAAATACATCTTCCCATAGATTATATAGTTTCCTCCTCACACATACACATGCTCTCACTCTCTCTCTCTCTCACACGTGTACACACACACACACACGCAGTTGTAAGCAGGTAATGGTGATTTTAGCTGATAGGGTACAATGTAAATTATTTTTTATCTGATAGGGTACAATGTCTCTAAGGGCTGCTAGGATAAAAACCACTTGGATGCAATTTTCTCCTAAAACAAAAACCACAACAGCACTTTTCTAAACATCTGTAGTACTCCTACTAAGGCAGTCATGATATTAGATTTTCACTACACGATTATCTTGGACAAAAGAATTCATGACAATGATATCATCACTATATCTAGACAATTTGAATAACAATGATGATTACATTTTGGGTTTTATCTTTTTTGGCCAATGAATAAAAGAATTAAAAGAAAAAAACATTTGCCTTCAAAAGCATGCAGTGATGCCTGGAATCACTTTAATAATGAAAATACAGTTAAGTGCAAGATGTGCAGCACCAATCTGTCACAAACATAACATTATAATGAGAACACTATTATAACAGAATGTATTTTAAAAAAGCACATTCACGGCATGAATTAAAAATTCTAACTAGCACGGTTAAGTTCACTTGTGCATTTGCATTGTTTTGTGCAGATCCTAATATTATGTTTATAGTATATATCTGATTAATCTCTAACAGGATGCATTTGTGGGTTTTATTAACTCGCTGGCAAAACACTTCAGCAAACTGCTGTTCATTAGCTTCTGCTCATGCAGATCAAATGGCAATACCCAACATTATTGGCTATGATTGAATTTAAAGCAATCATATTCATTTTAGATGTTTCTTTTTCAAATCAAATCAATACATTAAAAATATATCAGTGTTATTTTTCTGATAAAGTCATGTGTAGTATTAACATGATATCCTATTTGATGTCAGGCCTATTTCCTTTTATAAACCCCACACTTATTGCCAATACACAATATATATTGCAAAACTCCTATAACCATGATATCAATTTTTTATTTCTTAAATATCACAGTTATCAACAATACTGGTATACTGCAACACCCCTAACTTCCACAAATTGTTCTGCATAAATGCAGAGAAATTGATTTGTTAACAGAACAATATAAACATTAATTATAAAACAGAGTTATAAAATGCTAAAAGTGATTGAAATAAATATGAAAAATGGGACACTGTTTATTAAAGTTCTTCAATACTAGTTTTTACACAAACTGTGCTACTCAATCAATATTTAATTAATGTTTCTTTTTCTATTGCAATACAATTTAGGGCCAAAAAAAATCTCAAGGAAATGTATCCTTTTGTTTAAGAGATAGTTCACCTAAAAATAAAAAATCCATATTTTTATGACTTTTTATTCCTTATTATAAGATGTTCCTTATTAGACAACTTATTGTTGTATTGGACCCCACTGACTTTGAATATATGGAAAAAAGCATTATTCAAAAAAATCTTCTTTTGTGTTCCACAGAGTAAAGAAAGTCATGCAGGTTTGGATCGACATGAGGGTGAGTAAATAATGACAAGAATAACATTTCCGGGTGCACTATCCCTTTGAGGATGTTTTGAGAAAATACTAATTAAGAAAATGATGTCCTTGTGTGTGCATGACATTGTCCACGTATGATGGCTTTTACTGGAAAGCAAGACGCAAATGCAAGAAAACGATTTTCTGCGGTGAGATGAGAAGAGCAAAAGGGCGAGAAATAGAGGATGAAAAGAAAAGAAATGGGGTGAGTGAGGTAAAGAGGGAGAAGAACAGCATTAGAGAGAGAGATGGGAATGCTTCTGCGTTCTGCTCTCTCAGCGTTTTCTCTGAGCAGTCCAGTGTGTCTGGAATACTAAACATGGGGAACATGCACTGCTCTTCCAGTGTGTGTGTGTGTGTGTGTGTGTGTGTGTGTTCTGTACATGAACATAGCTCTGTGTCTCCTGTTTTAAATAATAGTTATCATGACTGATGAAGGTAATATATGGAGGTGCTATGTAGCAAGGGGCTTTACTCTGCATAATTATATGATATATCACAATCATAGCCTTGCACGTATGCACACACACACACACACACACACACAAGTGCTTGAACATCCTCATTTTATGATAAATGACTATATGTGAACACAAACATGGGTGGCTAAAACACAAAAATCAGAGGCGCATGTTTTTTTCTCTCTCTCACCTGGCACTGAAGTTCCTAGCGCTACAAACACCACTGCTGTGACAGAGTCTTTGAGTCCGATGGTGCAGCCGAAGTGGGATGCCAGGTCTCCGATGAAAGCCGTCAGAACGCCAATCATAATGATTGACACCACGAAACACGCCCACCCGTTCCAGTAGTCAGTGGGCGGGACAAAGGCAAAGAGAACTTTCCAGAAGACAGTGAGGAAATGCATGACGTAATCGAAGCAGGAGGGGAGCTTCTCCTCTCCGCATTCTTCATCATCATCATCCTCACCTGCAGGAAGGAAATGAGAAATAATTAAACATGACTTTATAGAAGGTTAATAAACCCCTAAGTGCTGAAATTTGGCACATGACTCATCCACATGACTCAGAACTTGCCAGAACAACTTAGCAACCCCCTTATCAATCACCCAGAACATCAGCATCCTATCAGCTTTATATTAGTGCACCTAAAATGCAGCAGCGACCTGGCAACTTCATACAAAAAGCATCACCGTAGCAGAGAGTTTTGCACAGACCAGGCACCACTTTTCTTCCGAAAATATAAAAAATTTATATTTTGTACCTAAAAGCCACACACCAGGTCAACTGTCGTGGCACTATAGCTGAAAACTTCTCATAGACACACACAGCCTTTATCGATATGTAGAGCACACGGCGCGTGTGTGTGTGTGTTCAGGAAGGTTGTAATCTGTTTGATATTCTGTTGGTGCTGCGTTTCCTTGAGAGCGTAAAGAGAGCAGCTTCCAGACGCCCACACAGTGCTCTCTGACAGGTGAGGCTGTTCCTTTAAAGTGTGATTAGATGCTACAGGATGTTCAGAAATCTCACCTATTCACAGCAGCAGCTGAGAGCACACGCATTCAAGTCACTGGCAAGGGGATTTAGTCATTGTTTCGCCAAGACATTCATTCTGTTCACGGGCAAAAACCTGATTGTGCACTGTGATTAAAAGGATTATTGATAGAGTAGATGCTTAGGCTAGAACATACACACACGCTTAGACAGAACACTCACACTGATCTGTATCAAATACAAATTCAAACAAACAAAAAGCTTTAAAGAAGACTGAATCATTATGAGTCGCTATTGAAGATTCAGACAGAAATGTCAGCTGATACGAGTGTATATGTTTATGTATATGTGTATATGTTTATTTCATCACAGCTCAAGAGTATTTGAAGGTCACGATGATGTTTGCTGTCACTGCAACACATGTGTAAATATGCACACATCTGTGCTAAAGAGACAGAGAAGGTCAACGTGATGCTTTATGTGCCGTCCATCATGTGTCTGAAGGGAGTAAACACCTCATAAAAGCATCAGTTTGCTTTCAGACCAGTCAGCATACATAAATACACAATTGACAATGCAATAAAAAAAAAAAACTTTAAACAAGATCAATTGACTTGATCAGCAAAATTGTGTAACATACTGTTCTATTTAAATCTAAATATAGATTTCCACATTTGTCCATAGAGGTTTTTTTCAAATTTAGATTACATTTGGCAGTTATTTTGCCCTAAATGAGGACATACTATAGACTTATAATGTAAACCTTTTAAATTATTATTGTTAGTAGGCCTATTTTTTTTATTCTATTATACTAAATATTAATTATTTTAATAATTTGAATTGTGTGTGTGTGTGTGTGTATACAGAATTATTATTTTTTTTAGCTCAATAGCTTTATTTTTAACTTTAACAGTTTTTAACTTTTAACAGTTTTAGCATTAGTAATTTTAGCACTTCAGCTTATTATCCGTTTTTAATCTAAAATGTATATTACATTTTATTTCCGCTTTATTTCAATTACTGAAAAACATTTTAAAAAGTTTTAGTTAACAGCAACACTGATCTTAACCCTCAAAGATTATGTTTATTAATTATGTTTGTTTATTATAAATGATTTATGAAAAAATGCTTCACGAATCATTTGTCCAATTAAGGACATCCCCAAATGTCTCCAAAGGGACAATTTTGTGTCCAATCTATAGATAAGTAAACCCCCACACACTCAGTGCTCATGTTGTGTTTACTCTCTCCTTATCTTTCGATATAAATCATCTCGCTGTGCTGCAGAGTCTGACATTTAGCAAAGCTTTTAAACTTGAAACTCTTCAATTTACCGCCATTAGCTGCAGACCTTTTATTCTTCTTTGTCCCTATCTGTGTACATTTGCGTATATGTGCATGTGTGTATCTGTGTGTCCTGATAAAAAGTTGTGGAGAAATTTCTGTTCAGTTCTCAGTGGTGCTAGATAAAAAAAAAAAATCCATCTGTCAATGATGGCAATGATTAATGCATGTTTGATGTTAGGTAGGATGTTCATGCTGCTTTTTTCCATAATGAAGGTGAATGGTGACCAGGGGCTACCAAAGTCCAAAAAATGTGTCTTGACACAACAAATCTGAATGAGATTTGAAGGAAAAGACTCGCAAGAACAATTCACACTTAATAATTTTTGAAATTCTATTTTGAAAACAACCAACATCACTGTAGATACTTTATGAAAAGACTTGGTCTGTACTCTGTACTGGTGATTCCAGGCCAGTTCTGACAGCAGACAGAGCAACATACACGCACACACAACACACACACAAAGGCTTTTAACCTTGCTTTGCCCCAGAGCACAAATTGGCACACTGAGAGGTGTTCAAGTGTGAATCACTAAGTCACCAACACCTGATCCACACAAACACACACACACACTTACACAGCTAGAGAAGCAGCCTCTATGATCATCAGTCTCTCTGAGGTCGTGCTGCGAGTGCTAATTACTTCAAAGAAAACAAACCGAAAAAAATCCCTCTCTCGTTTTTCTTTCTCCGCCTCCACCTACTTTCTTTTTCTCCTTTGCACAGAGAATGGAGACTCCTTTGTGTAGCCCTAAGAGAGGTGAAGCTGTAAAACAGACTTTCTTGAGAAACACCGCAGCCACCAGGGGGCGCTTTACAGCAGAGAGTACCAGCGCTTTTGAAATTTCAAATGGAAACCATAAACAACAACATCTGATGCTATCTATACAACCCAGGGATGCCTAAGCCTGCTCCTGGAGGGCCACTTTCCAGCAGAGCTTAGCTTTAACCTTATTAAACACACTCAAACCAGCTAATCAAGCTCTTTAGGATTACTAGAAATGTCCAGGCAGGTGTATTAGAGCAGGCTGAACTCTACAGGAAGATGGCCACCAGGAGCAGGATTGGACACCCCTGATAACCCAATCGAAACAACAGTTAGTAGTATTTAACTAAAAATGTATTTTATAACAGCAATAATAACATAAAAGTCTCGCAGGCACTTCTGGCAACACTCACAAGTGATTATCATCTCGAACGAGATGTTCTTTTTTTAATGAAACACTAAATCAGTCCTCCCAATGTTCCTCACAAACTGAAACACTCACCGGCGCTGACTGTGATGGCCTCGATGAACTGGTCCCTCCAGCTGTTGGTGCCAACCAGAAGAGCCAAGTTTGTCTTTTTAATCAGCTTATCAACTGTATTCTATAGAGAAAAGTGAGAGACAGCACACAAAGAAAATGAATGACCGCTTCATTATATTCCAGTGCAAATTAACAGGAATAAACAAACTTAAACACACTTCAGGCACGGTGGACCACAGTTCATCGAGTGCTTCTGACTGCTCTCTGGTCTGCCCCGTTGTGAAGTGTGTGTGGGATCGGAGTGTGTGTGCGTTTTAGCAAGGCGAGTGTGTGCATGTGGATCGTCCTGAAGTGTGTGGAGGCGATCGATGAGATGCCAACGTTTAAGATCTCTGAACTTCCCTGACAGAACCATAGTGTCTTGTGTGTTTCCATAAGCAACAAGAAGGAACATTTTTCTACAGAAAAACAGGTATTTTTGAATTATATGTGACCTAAAAAGTTAGTTAGTCAATTCTAAATGTAGCAACCCAGAGTCATGTTTGTGCACTGCAAATAATGAAAATGATCCTTAATAAATAATAAAAAGTGCATGTTTAAAGTATATTGCAGTAAATAACTTAATGGGGGCTTATAATTACCATTTGACAGTATAATTGGCTAAACTGGTAAATTTATACCAGTATACTATACACATGTAAATTAATAGTTCATTTAAAATGGAAACATTTTGTCGTTATTCACTCAAACTTCATGTCGTTACAAGCCTGTTTAACTTTTTTTCAGCAGAACATAACAAAAGCTATTTTGAAGAACTGTTTTTGTGCAAGCAATGAAAGCCAAGAGGGGTGCAAAACAACATCGGACACTCTTGAATTTAATTGTACGGATAAATGTACACTAAAACATTCTTCAAAATATCTTCTTTTGTGTTTTACAGGTTTAGATCAACATGAGGTTAGAATATGTGACAGTCATTTTTGGGTGAAAGTTGCTTTAATGTGATTATGAATAAATGGGAAATGTGTAGCTAAATTAACACACCTTGAATTCATAAGATTCCTCAATGATAACCTCCAGTTTAGGGTGATCTCCTAGCATTGGCTTCCCCATTTCAGCGATGCGTCGTTCCTCTTCCTCTTCGCCTGTCAGAGGCTCCGCCTCTTCCTGCCCCGCCTCTTTCTCCTCCTCTGAAAACAAAAGCACCAGTCAGAGAGTAGAAAACAAACTAGCCAAACCAGCCAACTTATATTTCAAATGATCATCTAGAGCGTGTTTGTGGAAGGCCCCCCTTCTTCCTCCCCCGCCTCTTTCTCCTCCTCTGAAAACAAAAGCACCAGTCAGAGAGTAGAAAACAAACTAGCCAAACCAGCCAACTTATATTTCAAATGATCATCTAGAGCGTGTTTGTGGATCAATGGGTTTCTGTGGATAAACTGGATTGTGTAAATACATTTGATGAAAATGCTACAGTGAACACAAGAATTTGGCTCTGAGGTGGAAAGTCCTATAAAAGGTCAAAATCACAGATCTTCGTTGACAAATTTAGAAAATGGGTCCATTTCATGAAACTACTTTTATAATAGAATACACACAGACCACTGTGACCCTGTATATGAGAAATATGTCGGGCAGGATTTTTCCTTCATTTCTTTCATGTGATGAAGCTTCTATGGGCCCAGTGGGATTCTGGGTAAGTAAGTGTGTGATATAAGCAAGCCCTGACCATGTGACTGGGTTTAGCCCAATCAATCACCCACATTCACACGCACAATGAAATGAGAGGGTCAAAGGAAAGCAGCAGATGCAGACCTAAAGGCACGGAGGTATGATGAGGTTTGGAAAGGAAAACAATTAGGTTACAGTAGAGACACATGCACACACTGATGTGGACAGACAAAAGGAAAGGCCTGGGAAAGGAGAAAATGAAAATCCTTTGGGCAGCACCATGGTGATTTCAGCGGAAATGTAATTCTTCGAGTCCTATCACATATATTCACTTATATCACTTTCTCTTTCTGTCTCATTTATTTCATTTTTCTTCTCAGTTCACGAGCTCAGCTGGCATAATGGCTACACCAACAACAGCAAGAGTCATAAAACAATGTTACGATGACTACATTCCCAAGCGCAACACAAACATGAGCCCCATAGGCAGAAACGGCTGCGTAAACGAATGAAATATCTAATGGAACAAATAAATCTCGAGCCACAAATGAACCCTGAGGCATTAGTGGAGGATTCCAGCGCAAGATTCTCTGTCAGATTAATGGCAGAGCAACTCGTTCCTGTAGCCTAAACAGTCTCTCTCTCTGTCTTAATATTTTATGTTCATCTTTTCCAGGGTAATCTGCTCATCTTTTTCTTAGACCAAGTTCTCTTTTTTTAAGAAAAGTTAAATGTTTTTGATTTCTTACATGTAATGGGGGGTTGGGACCATTGAGATTTGCATGCATCACTGAGATGTGAGTGTGATACATCCACAGAAAAAAGCTGAAAGATGCATAGGAAGTAAATTGAAAGACCAACAGAAAATGTGGCACATCTTCGGTGTAATAAAGTAAGGGCAACTAAAAATTAATTGGTTACATTTTGATACTGTGCTTAGTGTGTGTGTGTGTGTGTGTGTGTGTGTGTGTGTCTGTGACCTCCACTGTAAGTAGCTTATTGTAGTAAGAGTGCTGCTGTCATAGGAATGTTTCTGCATGCTTGCATTAGCATGGTATACTATGTACTGCAGATTTCACTACCTTAATTTTGTAAGGAAACACTCTATAACTCTCTTCATCCTGTCTCTGCTTATTTTTCTTTTCCGAAAGAGTTTCACAAACACTACCTTCTAAGACGTCCTCTCCAGTCCATTTCCCAGAATGCACTGCCCTTATCTCAAGACACGATTGGGCTCAGTTAAAGGCACGTCATTGCTCTGTACAGACAGGCAGTGTTCCTTTTACACAGAGATAAGACAAAAGGATTACACCTCCTCGCCCAAAGCTTCGTAGTGTTTGGTTTGACTGTGTTCCCTTCACATTGTATTAGGCAGGGTGTTGCTTTGCACTGTCAAACTGTTTGTGTCCCATTAGCCACAAACAATAATTATCAAGGATATTGTATAACAAAATACACCACTCCACCTTATTGCAGTTGACCAGCATTGTAATGTCAGCGACTGTCGTGACTAGATGCTGTTCCAGGTGTAAGCAGTTTGACACTGAATGAGAGCCAAGAATTCTAACTGTGTTTGGCCACTGTACACAGACAATCTCAATTCATGCCCAGTTCACACTAGTTTTGTACGTAATTGCTCCATTGATAGGTTAATAAAATATACATAGCAATATCAGTTTGTTTAACTACCTGTTGCAGTGGGTGATTCAAATTATTTCTTGTCTATAAGTACATGAATAGCATGTGAAAGAAAAAGGACAAAGCGGAACAATGAAGTGCAAATCATGAAGCAGTATTTTTGCATGTCTTGCAAGTTCTCAAAAGTGCAAGACTCAAAGTTTACTTGCACACTCAGGTTTCTTGCGTCCCTCTGATTTTATAACCAAATATGTCTGTCACATGCTATCAGAAGACTGTGCATGTGACCATGCTATTTAGCACATGAACTTTATCACCAAAAGTTTAAATAAGTAAAAATGTATATGAATGTATAAGAAAACATATTTTATATGCTCTAACTGGTTACTTTTTTGTCCTAATTTTTAATCACCTTTTAATAATAAAAAAAGTACAAATATTCCATGTAATCTCTTTAAAATCATGAGGTAAAAAATCACTGCTTGAAAGTTTCCAGTAGAATGATGCTAGCAATGCCTCAGTCGTAGATTTGAAATATGAATACATATACTGAGTTGCTTTTAATAAAAACATCTGCCAAATCAATAAATGTAAAGGTACAATTTCCTATTATAATTATTTTGCATTGACTTTAACCTTATTTCACCTGTCTATCTGTCTCAGATGTTGACCCGCCAAACCAGCCACCTTATATTTTAAATGACTGTTTGTGGATCAATAGGTTTCTGTGGATAAACTGGATTGTGTAAATACATTTGATGAAAATGCTACAGTGAACACAAGAATTTGGCTCTGAGGTGGAAAGTCCTATAAAAGGTCAAAATCACAGATCTTCGTTGACAAATTTAGAAAATGGGTCCATTTCATGAAACTACTTTTATAATAGAATACACACAGACCCTGTATACCCTGTATATGAGAAATATGTCGGGCAGGATTTTTCCTTCATTTCTTTCATGTGATGAAGGCCCAGTGGGCCCAGTGGGATTCTGGGTAAGTAAGTGTGTGATATAAGCAAGCCCTGACCATGTGACTGGGTTTAGCCCAATCAATCACCCACATTCACACACACAATGAAATGAGAGGGTCAAAGGAAAGCAGCAGATGCAGACCTAAATGCACGGAGGTATGATGAGGTTTGGAAAGGAAAACAATTAGGTTACAGTAGAGACACATGCACACACTGATGTGGACAGACAAAAGGAAAGGCCTGGGAAAGGAGAAAATGAAAATCCTTTGGGCAGCACCATGGTGATTTCAGTGGAAATGTCATTTTTCAAGTCCTATCACATATATTCCCTCTATCACTTTCTCTTTCTGTCTCATTTATTTCATTTTTCTTCTCAGTTCACGAGCTCAGCTGGCATAATGGCTACACCAACAACAGCAAGAGTCATAAAACAATGTTACGATGACTACATTCCCAAGCGCAACACAAACATGAGCCTCATAGGCAGAAACGGCTGCGCGAACGAATGAAATATCTAATGGAACAAATAAATCTCGAGCCACAAATGAACCCTGAGGCATTAGTGGAGGATTCCAGCGCAAGATTCTCTGTCAGATTAATGGCAGAGCAACTCGTTCCTGTAGCCTAAACAGTCTCTCTCTCTCTGTCTTAATATTTTATGTTCATCTTTTCCAGGGTAATCTGCTCATCTTTTTCTTAGACCAAGTTCTCTTCTTTTAAGAAGAGTTAAATGTTTTTAATTTCTTACATGTAATGGGGGGTTGGGACCATTGAGATTTGCATGCATCACTGAGATGTGAGTGTGATACATCCACAGAAAAAAGCTGAAAGATGCATAGGAAGTAAATTGAAAGACCAACAGAAAATGTGGCACATCTTCGGTGTAATAAAGTAAGGGCAACTAAAAATTAATTGGTTACATTTTGATACTGTGCTTAGTTTTGGTAATTAAACGAGATGCTCACACAACAAATGAAACACAACATGAAGATTGTGAGTCATGTTTGTCTGCGTGTGTAAACTGATATTGATTTAATAGGCTAAGGTTCCCTCTTCCTTGTTTTGTCCTTGAAAACAGAGCTATCATTTTCTATCGACAGCTTGGTGCTACACATCTTGCATGAGCACACGCAAACACAGTCCATCCAGCCATCCGTTCCTTTCATTTTCATTATCTCTTCAGCTGTCCTTTATATTTCTAGTCTCTTCTTTTCTTTTTTCTTTCATACTAAACCATCTGTTTTCTCTTATCTACAGTATGAAGGCTTTGAATCATCCAGGGTACTTTCACATGTCTTACAAGCAAAGCTAATCAAAGGCAACTGGACTTGATTATTAATTATTTTGAAGGCGATTCGCCACTCATCTGAGTGTCTTAATCAGTTTTTTTGTTAATCACTGATGAAGTCGTATGGATGAGTGGCAAATCATCATCAAAAAATGTATAATCAAATCCAGCTGCATTTGATTTGAACTCTACGTGATGTTCCTCTCTCCTCTTGTATTCCATGTTTTAAGCACTGGATCTCTTTTTATTGTATTTTATATTAATCATGCTAAAACACAGCATTAATCAAAACAAGCGAATATCAAGAAATATCAAGAAATAGGATAAAAAACATTTGATACACATCAAAACATTGAGGTGCTGGGAAAAAGAGCCGTTTTGTTTCCTGGAAAATAAATGTTTATCTAAATGTGAGATGAAACACACTCGACCAGCCTTGGCTTTGAAGACAGCTCACAATCTTGAGCTCTGAGTCTTTTTAGCTCCCCTAATCTCTCCTCATGATTTACAGCCCAGCATCTGAACTCATTTGCTGGCGTGTCTTAACTTTTCCTTTGTGTCTAGTTATGAGATTATTGCGAAGAAACGAAATTAAACAGTTCACGTTGAAGCTTTCTTTCTCAACCTGCTAATATTCTGAGCACACCCTATAAGGCAAACTACAAAAAAGATTGCGTAAGAGATGATTATGACTATAAATTAAAGGGTCATATCATCCTTTTGAAAAAAGTGTTTTGTGTACAATGCGTACAAGCATCAGAGCTCAAAACTCTCAAACACCAGACCATTCAAAAGTTCGGGGTCAGTAAACATTGTGTTGTTTTTTTTGGAAAGAAATTAAAGGATTAGTTCACTTCCAAAATGAAAATTTCCTGATAATTTTCTCACCCCCATGTCATTGAAGATGTTCATGTCTTTCCTTCTTCAGTCGAAAAAATTCCAGGATTTTTCTCCATATAGTGGACTTCAAAAGCGACCAATGGGTTGAAGGTGCAAATTGCAGTTTCAATGCAGCTTCAAAGGGCTCTAGACGATCCCAGCCGAGGAAGAAGGGTCTTATCTAGCAAAACGATTGGTCATTTTCTAAAAACAAAAAAACAAAAATGTATAATCTCTAACCACAAATGCTCATCTTGCACTAGCTCTGCAATGCGTGTCCACAACTTCACGCATTACGTAATCACGTTGGAAAGGCACAAACAAAGCGAACGTGCCAAGACTAAATCAAACGCACTTTTCAAAAAGGTAAAATAATGATGTTGGATGATTTTGAAGTTGGAGGAGAAAAACAGATGGAGTTCGGTCCTCCTTCTGCCTACGTCACGCACAACCTTTCCAATATGTCTATATAATGTGTGAAGTCATGGACGCGCATCTTAGAGCTAGAGCAAGACGAGCATTTGTGGTTAAAAAGTATGTACGTTTTTGGTTTTTTAGAAAATGACCAATCATTTTGCTAGATAAGACCCTTATTCCTCAGCTGGGATCGTGTAGAATCCTTTGAAGCTGCACTGACACTGCAATTGGGACCTTCAACCCCGCTGGTCTCCGTTAAAGTCCACTATATGGAGACAATTCCTGGAAAGTTTTCCTCAAAAACCTTAATTTCTTTGCGACTAAAAAAGAAAGACATGACCATCTTGGATGACACAGGGGTGAGTAAATTATCAGGACATTTTTATTCTGGAAGTGAACTAATCCTTTAATACATTTATTCCCTAAGGATGCATTAAAAGTGACAGTAAAGCCATTTATAATGATTCAATGTCAACTTTCTATTCATCAAAGAATCCTGATAAAAATGTATCATGGTTTCCACAAAATTATTAAGCATATAAAATATTAAAACGTTTTCAATATTTATAATAAGAAATGTTACTTGACACAGAAGACTGGAGTAATAGATGCTGAAAATTCAGTTTTGCCATCACAGGAATAAATGACATTGTAAAATATATTAAAATTAGTGCTGTCAAACGATTAAATGTATCCAAAATAAAAGTTTTTGTTTGCATAATACATGTGTGTGTTCTGTGTATATGTATTATGTATATATAAACACACACATAAAGTATATATTTTGAAAATATTTACATGTCTATATTATATTCAAACCATTTATATTATATATAAATATATTTAATATATAAACAACATATTTTTCTGAAATATATACATGCATGTGTGTATATTTATATATACATAATTAATATATACAGTACACATACATATATTATGTAAACCAAAACTTTTATTTTGGATGCGATTAATCACAATTAATCATTTGACAGCACTATTTAAAATAGAAAACAATTATTTTCAATTGTAATAATATTTCACAATATTACAGTTTTTGCTGTATGTTCGATCAACAAAATGCAGCTTTGTTGAGTATATATATCTTTCAAGAACATTATAAATATAAACTCTGACCCCAAACTTTGAATGGTAGTGTACATTGAAATAAAGCTGTTAATATGCACATAACAATGCCTTTTATGATACATGTTATTGCTCCCAAACACCAGAAGACACTATTACTTTAAATGGTGTCTAACTAAAGACAAGAGCAAGATATGGAGAAGGTCTACCAAAACATTCTTCTGATTCTGGCAAGGCTTTTGTTGTGTTGTGTTGTTTTGTTTGTGTCCCTCACTGGATGCATAAGCATAGATTAGCAGCTACATTATGGCCACATGGGTTTTCAACTACCTCTATTTATATTTGCTTTTAGCTCTGTCCACTTCATAACTGTGTTAACTGTGTTCATGTCAGTTTTGGAGCAATAATCCTTGAGTAACATTAAAGCAAGTAGAATCTGGCTCCTACTGTATGTGTAAGGTATATGTGTTAATGTGCGAGAAGTTGTGTGTTCAGCGAAAACAAATAAATGTCATTAAATTAGTAAGACAGCACACCGACACCAGGAGAGAAAGAGAGAAGGTGAGACTCTGCCCAGAGGAAGAGAAGAGTAAAAAGCAAAGGAGACACTGTGAGAGGGAAAGAAACCTCTGTATACTGTCCATCCTCTCCTTCTCCAAAGTGGCGTCTGTAGCTCTATGCAAAAGCTGCATTGCTTATCGTATTCCTCTCGATTGAGAACCCTGACTGATATCGTCTTCCTGCAGAAACAAGACAACAGGAGGGGGGTTGGAATAATGCATGCATGATACACACACACACACACAAGCAAGCACACGCGAGGGCCTGGCCGGAGGGCTGTCGATGGTATAGTTTGGCCTCTAGTTGATCCCGATGATGATCCAGAGCAGAGAAGGTTCAGAGTGGAATGGTGTTTAGTGTGTGTGTGTTGTATGTGTGATTTCCTCTGCAGGCTCAGGCCACGCCCCCCACCTTCCTTCTCATTGGTCTCTACGAGCTGGGGTTCTCCGATCTCCAGGAAGAAGCCTTTGTTCTTCTCGTATTCTTCGTCATCAATTATCCTGACTTTTATTGTTTTGCTGGAGAGAGGGGGAGAGAAAGAGAAAGAGGGAGAGGAAGAAAAGAGTGAGGAAAAGACAGGCCAAGGGAAAACGAAGAAAGATAAAGGGCATGCAGTCATGCACAGGCAGACCGTCAGAATAAGAGGATGATGCAAGAGAGACAGAAAGAGAGAGAGCAGCCTCACAAGTCTGACTGTAAATACACATTCACAAACACTGATACAATCTATAGTCGCTCTAATTTTTCTACTCACTCCACAAAGTCTATTTATGTTGGGCGTATCCTTAATTCATTATATAAATTAATATTTTTAAACCACCTCGTATACCGTTTTACTACATATATTTTTTCTTGAATAATTTCATATTTGTACATTTGTTAAATAAATAGGGCTCATTCAATTCTAAATTCTAATGACATGATATGCTTATTTATTTGATGAGCAAATTCATAAATCAATATATGCTGAGGAAAGCCACCAAATTAATTGATAATTCAAATCATAATGCAAAGACATTACATTACTGTAGATGAAAGAATTGAATAAACTTCACAAAGTGCTTTTACAAGTCAATATACTGTTTGTTTTATTTCCATATCATTAAACATAAGCTATCACTGGCCAACATAATCCATTTCGCAATCGAGTTTGCCAATAATAATACATTTTTTACAGCTTAATTCTTTTTAATCACACAAAATGTATTTAAATTGACAGCCCTATAAATAAATATTTTGTTAAATAACATATATATACACAGTAAATATTCATATATAATGTGGCTAATAGTTATCTAGAGGCCATCATCTTATTTACAAAAAGAAAATCTCAAGATTTTGTAAATACAAGAATAAAAATAATATTGCATGGCTTTTGTGGGCTTGTGTATGAATTTAAAATCTGTACTGTTCTAAGATGCAGTCAGTATCTTGTGAATTAGTCAGCGCTGCATATTTACAAGATTTATAACAGCTTCAGTTGCATATTAAATAAAATCAATGGATGTGCGGATGGACTCCAGTTTAAATGGCCATTCATTTAGCTCTGACTCAAGAACTCTCAAGCTTATTCTCAGATTTTTTGTTTTGCCTGAATTCTTCCTCATATGCACATCCAGCCCTGTATGCTTAGAGGGAACACTGAATACAAACCTCCATCTCCAAGCTAACAAAATCAACCATCATCAGAACTAGAAACAAAATCCTTCATACACACATTCAGACCACTTGCTGCTATATGTTTGCATGACCTTTCTCCAAGAGCAACCTCAGCGCACAACATTACAACCATAAAATCTCCACAACCAACCATGTCACATTGGCCTGATGTCATGAACAGGAAATCTAAATCGACTCTCTTGGCCTACATTTTTTTCTCACTGAATATCAAGTATCATGGCTGCATGGCTGACGTTGTAGTACTGTTTCATTAAATGTTGTTTGTGCTATACATTTAGTTTACAATTTAAATCATTTTTATAGAAGAAAAATTATGTGATAAAGCTCTGAAAATTGTGGCGACTTAAGGAGAGTGATTATAAAAAATAATTTTCGCTCAGTAAAATGTTTTTGTTATAAAACATCAGCGCCAACTGAACAATATCCAGACTTACAGAGTCTTACAGAAACGCACAATCACTTCCAACAGTCATCGATCTTCAATTAAGACACAGGTGCTACAGCAAGAAAGACAGACAGTGAAGAAAATGCATGGAAGATTGAGGTAAGAAAGACATAAGAGTTATCAAATGCTGGCATATGCTTCAGGGAAGACTAATAAACGCAAACACCCTCTATCTTTGTCTCTCTTTATCTTCCGCTTCTCAAAGACAATTTCATATTCCTTCCATCCCATTGGTTGTCAGAAACACAAGTGTTAGATTATTTCCAGATCCACACTGTCAAGTGCAGGAAGCTGTGTGTGTGTGTGTGTGTGGGAATGACCCTCTTCACTTCTCATCTGAATGTGGGTTAGGTTCAGCTGAGGTCATGGCAGCGCTCTAATGATACATCAATAAGTCATAGAACTGCTTTTACATACACACAAAGGTTTTAAAATGACAGCACATGCCGTTTTAGTATGTGTGTGTGTGCGTGGGTTGTTTTTCTATTTATTCTCTGTACTTTTTGTTCTTATCAAGTGTCTTTGACATCTGTCGTTACATCTGTCATCTGTAGTTATTGGACACTTGCTTTATTTAATTACTCCTCTAATATCTCCCGCTCTCATTTCAAATGATGTATCAAGTTTATAATTGTATTAGACAATGGCTATTGGATCTGACAGAAAACAAAGTGATTTTGTAAGTGTGTGTGTTGTAGACGAGATGTTAATTAGAAGTGTTCTCGAGCTCTGTTTTATCTAGGGATGTAACGGTATGAAAATTTCTTATCACGATTATAGTGGCCAAAATTATCACGGTTATCAGTATTATCACGGTATTGTTAACATGTGCTGGAGATGTTAAAAAAGTACCGACATATAAGTTTATAAGTTTTATATTTAAAAATGAACAAACTACAAATGAAATGACTTTTTGTTTGCATAATCACTAAAACAATAACATTACCAATGATGTCCAGATTTTACTTGACTGACAACAGTTTAATAGCATGTTGAAATATATGTAAATGTTCAAATAAAGCTTTGAAAAAGTTTCATAATAAGGTAAACCTCACATTTCAGCCTTTAAATAAAGAAAAGAGTTAAGTCAAAATGATAATTGATTAATAAATGATTATATGTATTTTATCTGCTCCATAAATAATTCTAGATAACTTATCTGAATTGTTTAAATGTGTAGAATCCACATAAGCTTGTTTTTCATCAACCGGTCAAAATTTACAGCAGGTCCATTTTTGGCTAGACAGAAACTGCACACAGGCTGAATGTAAATATGACACTAGGTGGCGCTTATGGAAAAGCTGAATTAGAGCTGTTTCCCGTGAACTCCGTGGACAAAGCAGTATTGTGATTAAGATCACTTCCTTTAGGTATTACATGGAGCGAAGATGACAAACAAAATACCATCGAATCGTTTCTGAAGACAGTCAGAACCTTCAGAGGTACATTCATATAATTAATTCATTCATATATTCATTTGTATAATTCCCTTAGCACTCTTTTAAAACGTCCCAGCTTTTCAGCCCTGTTTTCACTCAAAACGAAACTACTCTGCTTGTTGTGCGCACGTGAGACTGTTACTTAAAATTGTGCTTTATGCTGGACAGTATTTATTTATCGCGAGTACTTCAAATCGCGGTAATCTAATACGGTTTTAATGATTATTAAAAGATGAAACGGTAATACTAACCATGGGGAATTTTATCATAATTTATCGTCAAACCGGTAATCGTTACATCCCTAGTTTTATCGTTCAAAAGAATGAACACATAACAGCGGATGCTTCACAAGCAGTCAACTTATCAAACCCCAGTTAAAACATGTTAACAGTTTGTGCTCTGGATGAGAAAAAGTGTGACCACGTGACACACAATCACCTGCTAAACACACTGTCACACCTTTCACAACCAGTGTTGCCTGCATCGTTTTTTAGCGGCGGAACAATTTAACCAGTGTGAATCTCCAGTGTGACAGCAAAATAAATCATATTTACCTGAGTTGAGAATATCGAAGTCTAAAAATAATGCAATGAGATAAAAAAAGATGTGTTTATCTTGAAATAATGATGACAAAACACATTTATCAAGCTGCATGCAAACACAAACATACAGCATGAGTTGGGTAGTCTGATTCACAAATGAAGGACTCAAGTGAGTTAATTCACAAGTAAATGACTCTCAGTCTGACAAAATATTTGCTGCTTGAACTCACTGACTCACTGTTAATGACTCAGTAAATTTCACGTGATTAATTGCAGTAAAGTTAACTAAAATTAAGCAAATTTTGTTTGTGTTTAGTATATTTACTGACAGGTTGTTCAGTTGATGTGCAAATTTTTTTTTTGGGCGATAAATGGTTTTTCTTTACTGACAGGTTGTTCAAACAGCGTGTAGGCAAAGTGGGTTTTTTTGGCAAATAAATGATTTAATAAATGTAATTTTACAAAGTTCTATCATGGTGGACCTTCATAATTCTGAACTTATTTATATATGTGTTTATTTATTTTGTCATTAAATCTAACTCTCAAACAAACCAATCAAAAAATTTTAAGACATGATTTAGCATGTACTATATCAAGCCTTATGCAAACCATTGGCTTATCCACACAATGAGGGCAATCTAATCTTTTACTATTCATGTGGGCACATTTGGTGACCTGACACACACACGCACACACACACACACACACCAGTACACCTGACATGATCGACATGAACACACACACCTTGAAGCCTCTTGAATTCAATACAGCATTTCTCTCCTTGTTTTCCATTACATTTCCATTAGATGACAGTGGCTTTATGTGTGTGCACCACATTCCTGTCTCTCTTTAGGAGCTCAAATTTGAGCCTGCAGGAAATCAAAGCGTGCTTTAGATTAAGCCAAACGGGCAGGGGTTTGTGGGATATGCTCGGGGTCTTGAATCTCTGATCAGGGTGTTACATAAAGCTGCTCCAATTCATGCCTGACCATAAACCAAGCACTGCAACACGAGATCACACATATGCTCACGCTTATGAAAGACACAGAGAGGAAAAATGCAACACACACACA